TTTTTTTTATTTTAGCAATTTGATTTTTATTTTTTATTTTTTTTAAATTATGAAATCTCATTATGTTTTGATCACCAAAAATCTATATATAATATAATTACTGGCTCTTATGCATTTAAGAAAGCTTCTTAAATTATACCTAGGTATCACTTTGTCATTTTTTGTTACTGGCACTTTTTTTTTCGTTTTTTATTTTCTTTATTAAAAACAACTTGGCCCCGTTGGAAAGATAGCGAATTGAAGATAAATTAGTTTTTTTTTTTTTCAAAACAATAGAGAATATATATAACAAAACGCACAAATGTGCAAGGATACAACTTGGAACGCAACCCACAGCTGAATAAAAATGGGAGGACAGGTCAGAAGACCGCCTAGAACCTCAACTAGCCAAGCTAGAAAAGAAACACTTAAACACACTACAGACTCAAACAACACAAACAACTAACAACACCACCAACTAAAATCGCTTCCCACAGAAGAATAGAATCGGCCCCCACGGGGTAATCAACACAGGGGCCAACGGCCCATACCAAAAAGACAAACATAAACACTCAAGCAAAAGCCCACACCAAAAACACTTAACTAACACAGACTCAAACTACAATAAGGAAAACTAACGGAGCCCTTCCACGTCGCACGAAATAGCTCAACCAGCTGTGAAACGATTGACACAAGAAGAAGTCGAGATCCAGAAGCCCCTACCGAAACTGCGAAAGGCCTATACAGTAGGATAAACTGAACCCTAAATCCTTCCCCGAATCAACCCGTCAAAGACCGAGAAAGCCGCAATCAACCCCTAGACCGGCGCCACCCGAGACAAACTAACACCACTACATGAGGCGGATAACACCAAATCCCGGCCGCCTAACACCACTAGCCGAACCGAGAGGGTGAGGGTAGATCGTGACTTCAGCCCCAACCGCCACGGCTTGAACCACCACAGCCATCGGGGCCCCTTCCCACCCGACGACGCGAGCCCCGACCGACCACACCACAGCCAACCGACGACAAGGGAACAGAGCCCCTCCGGGGAGGCGGAGCCACGCCGCGAACAACCTAATCCAACCATAACAGACAAGGCAAGAGAAAGAGCAAAGGACTTACCATCTCCAATCGGGACGAAGACTGCACGAGACGATAGAAAATCGGTCTCAAGTCTGTCGCGAATCGGCAGAGGCGTAGCCGCCAAAGAAAGCCCCATCCGCTACCGGGAAGAGGAGCCCAACACGTCGCCAGCCACAGTGAATCGAAGGAGCGAAACGTCAGGGGAAGGTGGAGGGCGGCCAAGACGACCCCTGGTCGTGCATATTCCGGCGACAAGGAAGGCCAATCGGCCGGAGATGAAGAGGACCTAGAGCAGAGCGAGGGTTTCGGCGACAGAGGGTTTTCTATTGTTGATGATGTTGAATTTGACTTAATTGTGAGGTTTGATCTGTCAAATACGCTATTGAGCATGTTTGGTAAATATCTTATTTGATAAGCTTTTTGCGTCCAAAACTCTAATTTATAAAAAGCTCATTAGAGCAGCTTTTTGGTATAAAAGATTCACAAAAATTATTTACTTGAAACTTTTTAATTTGTATTATTTATTTTGCAATCTACATTAGTTTATGGTGCTAATAAATAATAATATGTCATCCATATGATTAATTATCTAGAAAAAATGTAAAATTCATAACTTCTTCATTAAGTGTTAGTAAATTTAAAAAAAAAAAAATATATTTATAAATTACCAACTAAAGAATATCAAATGTTTTAATATATTATTATTAAAAGAATATACCTCAATAATAAAATGTCATTATTGGTCATTTTGCAATGTCAACGGTTATAAGCTTTCAGTTATTTACCAAACACTTATTTAAAAACCGCTAATGCAATCCGCTGGTCAAATCAGCTAATATAATCCGCTATCCGCTAATACAATCTGCTATCCGCTATCTGCTATCCGCTGATCGCCAAACAAGGCCATTATTTTTGGAAAAGAGTTGACTGTGTTAAAAATGGCAACCAATTAATTCTGCAATCATACGAGTTAATTAAAATGAAAATGTTGCAACATTTTTTTAAACACTAGTACAGAGCCCGTGCGATGCACGGGGTGCACAATTTTAAGGTCATTTATTCATTCTTTTATGCAAGAATAAATGAATAAAGAAAAATGTACGGTATATATATAGTACGTGACCTGTGCGAGACACGAGATATATCTATTTGGGGAATATTATATTATAAGATGCAATATCAATACAAGTTTTA